GGAGTGATTTAAGTTGCGCTATGTAAAATAATTAAAATAAATTAGGAAAGCTGACCTACGAAGCGAGCCAAGATAGAAATAACAGATAAATATTGTGCTCGAAAATGCTAATTTAAACCTGGGAAATGACAATATAATCGTTAGATCAATAATGACCCGGACCATTTTATTTTTCGTGTTCATATTAACATAATTAAAGTGCTAAAGTAGTGTAATAAACAATAAAAGGGCGCACAATATTGTGAACGATACCGTCTTCTTTCTTTTGTGACGAAACCATTACAAAAATCGATATATCAATAAGTGGTGTATAATAACATCATTGTGCGATTAAATGATGGGATTTATTATCTTTTATGTATTATATAATGTATAATATAGATATATTTATGTGGAAAGGAATGGTGGCAGTAAAATTTTAGTAGTTTATATTGATATTTAATAAAAACATGTTTAGAAAAATACAATCTTTATTTATTAATTTTGACAACTGATGGCGAACATTTTGAGCTTGTTGTGTCAAAATTTGAAAAATAAGAACATAATTTTCGTTTCGTGTTATATATTACAAAATTAAAGACTAAAAAAATAGAAATATTTATAATTATTTTGAGGTTAATTCTTTTTTTAATGCCATTTAAAATACAGAACTTAACATGATTTAGTTGCTAATAGTTTTCATCATATTTAGTTTGAATAAGTGTTTGTTAATTTGATTTATAATAGATTTTTATAGGGCAAGTCAGTTTCATTTTATTGTAACGTAAATTCAACTTGGAGCGGAAAAAGGATGCTCAAAAGTTAGGTATTACGGTGGGTAGTATCAAAATTAATCCTAGAGGAAGTTTGGTCTTGTATTAAAGATAAATGAAGAATTCCAGGTCCAAGTACGTTTACTAAATAAAAATGAACAAAGGTTTTTGTCCACCTTGGCAAGGCCACCTTGACTTTTTTGTAAGGGACAACTAAAATTTTAAAAACTGAAATACATTTTAAAGTTAAGTTAAAGTTAAGGTAACCGTTAAGTTTTAAATTAGATATACATCCTATAAATGGTAACACGAACTTCCGTTGACCCGTCGCCAATAATTTAAAAATTTTGAGAGTTGTTATTGCCTCAAAAATTTTATAAAGTATCGCGCTTAAAAAGTGTCACCAGAAAAAGTTGAGGAAAGAGAATACCGCATACCGTGTTCCCCAAATTTATGCAACAATCGAGGTAGGTTCAAGTAGAATACTCACAATACCCAGATACTCACAATAAAACAGATAATGGAAAAATGCTGTGAGTTTGATCGTGAGCTTCATCAGATGTTCATAGATTTTAAACAAGCATTTGATAGAGTATTAAGAGCCAGACTGTGGACAGCAATGCAGGAACTTGGCTTTCCAAAAAAACTAGTCAGGTTTATACGGATGTGTATTACGGAACGGTTACGATGTAAGATGAGAGTTGGATAACAATACTCTGAGACATTTGAAATAAACAATGGGCTAAAACAGGGAGATGCACTTTCACCACAACTCTTTAACTTAGTTATGGAGCACATAATCAGAAGAGCAAGAATCGAAAAAACGAATACAGTATTTCATCGAGAACGACCAAACTTACTACTGGCATTTGTAGACGATATCGATCTAATAGGAAACACACGATTAAGGATGAAGGAGACTTTCGTGAGGTTCTAGAAGGAAGCAGAGAAGATGGGGCTCCAAATCAACGAAAACAAGACAAAATATATATATATGAGCCGAAATAACCAAAGCAGAGACAGAATCGATCAGAACACCACCATCGATGACTTTAACTTTGAGGGCGTTAGAGAATTCAAGTATCTTGGAACAACAATAACTGAAGACAATAACTGATCGCAAGAACTAAACAACAGGATTCAGGCCGGCAACAGATGTCTTTTTGCCTTCCAAAACCTAATAAAATCGAAACAACTAACAAGACGTACGAAGATACAGGTCTATAAAAGAATCATACGACCCGTTGTGATGTATGAAAGCGAAACGTGGACGATAACAAAGGCAAACTAAGAGAGACTATGCGTTTGGGAAAGAAAAATCCTAAGGAAGATGTTTGATCCTGTGCTGGTTGAAGTATCAGGACAATATAGGATAAAAACTAACAAAGAGCTCGAAGAACTCTACCCATACGCCAAAATTATAAAAGAAATAAAGTCCAGACGACTCCAATGGGCAAGGCACCTCAGAAGACATTCTGACGAACGAACAGTAAGACTGGTCTGGGAGGAAGTCCCAACTGGAAGGAGACCACGCGGACGCCCTCGTTTCCGGTGGCAAGATAATATAGCAGGAGACCTAAGCACTATGGACACGGAGAATTTGATGGAGGTTGCTCGAGACAGAAAACAGTGGAGGCATGTTGTCGAGTCGGCTAAAACCCACGAAGGGTTGTAACACCACGGAATAAGTAAGTAAGTACTACTTGCGAAGAATGGAGTTTTGTGAAACTCTAATCACGAATGCTAATGATGGACCAAATTTTATTAAAAATATTTTATTCACTGATGAATTTTCTGTTTCGTTAGTAGGGAGACACGAGGTATTAGGCGCGGGAAAACTAGCACAGAAGTGTTATTTACCGAACTCAACGTCCTCAAAAAGTTAACGCCTAACTGGCATTTTAGGAGACCACATAATAAGTTCATTTTTTGTTGAGGGCATCTTGAATATTAGAGTATATTTCGGGTTGTTACAGAATCATATTTATCCCGCTATTCTCAATCTTCCTGATGTAAATCTGAAGAATGTTTGCTTTCATCAAGACGGCTGTTCAGTTGACGACGCTCGAATAATTAGTAGAGAGTACTTAACTAATACTTTCCCCAATCAAGTTATCAGTGGAACAGGCGATACTAGATGATCTTACACCCATGGCCTTCTTTTTTTGGGGACATTTAAAAAGCATCATCTACGATCATCCTAAGGCTAGAGCCCAAAATTTGGATGATTTTAAAAACCGAATAAAAAAAGTCTCTATTTCTGTTACAGCAAAAATTCTTTCAACCGCCCACAGAAGTTTTTATGACAGATTTGGATACTGTTCAGCCTTAGAAAGTCAAATATTTAAATCATTTCTGTAGGGCATAAATAATTATTTCTTATTTTATTAGGAATTATTTTTTATTTTTTATACGAGTATACACCGCAATGTATAACCAGAAAAAATTGTTCACATTATTAAAAACCGATACAAATGAACCGCCTTATAATAGTCAGTATATTTTTATCGAGTTTATGTTATTAGAAATGAACCGGGCATACGCAATGAAAACAAATATCAACGGACGGAGGTGTATATCCCAAGCATTGTTATGTGTTACTAAATGGTTTTCTCAATTTCTGTCTAGGTGCCATACGGGATCGGAGAATTACAATTACCCCGTATGAGAAATAAAAAATACTATGTTGTTAAAAACAAGCTATGATTAGTATTAGCCGAAACATACATTTAATTCGGAAATGTCAATTTCGATCTTACAAACATTACAAAAATGTCCATTATAATTTGCTACCTTCTTACATCTTTATTTAATGTTAATTATTAATTTCTCAGGGTAAAAAATGACCTGGTAAAAATATTGGTGTTAAAGACGATCACAAGAAGAAACACTATTTTAAAAAAATGAAAATTTAAAATAATCTGCCCATAAAAACACCGTAACACTGCACTGCACTAGGTGCATCTAGAAAAAAACAAAAATAATGACAGGTATTTTTCACCATCAGAAAATATTCAGCATCGTAATTTAGATAAGCAGGTTATAAAAAAAGGTAAAAGCTTAGGGTAAACTGGGTAAATAATTTATTTCGTTATTTGTTTTTGTCTTGTGCTTGCAACATATATGTAGATAGGTGGGCAACATATATGGTAAACATACAAAAGAAATGTTCAATCATACGATCAATTTTACACTCATACCTTTAATTTAATTTTTACAAGAAATATCATAATTATTTTAAAGATTTTTAAATTGTCTTCACTTAATAGTAGATTTACGTTTAATGGTGTACTTAATCCCTCTTTTATCAATTCTTTTATCAGCCACGTGCTTGTATTACGATGTAGTGGGCAGTTGAAGAATATGTGATTTAAATCAGCTATACTAGTTCCACACTCACATCGGTCTGTTGGGAGAACTCCTATTTTGTGTAGATGTTTTGGAAAACATCCATGATCTACTTTTAATCTTAAGACAGTTGACACTGTGTTACTGCTGAGTGTAAAATTGTTTTACATCTACTGTGGGTTGTAATTTGTATAAATTAGTGCCCCTGCTTTCACCAAACTGAATCCATAGTCTGTCCCATTTAAATTTAATATGTTGTTTGATATAGGCAAGTAGGTCACATGTGTTAAATTCTTCTATCACCATATGTGGGTGCTGTAATGGATTTTTAGCTATATAATCAGCAATAGTATTGCCAACAATATCTGAGTGTCCCTTAACCCACAGAAATTTAGTACCATGTGGATCTGATAGTTTTAGTAACTGTTGAAAAATTTCTAATATGAATATATTGCTATTGATTGTGAATTTAAAGTTTTGTAAGGAGCGTAATACTGACAGTGACTGACTGCATATGACAATTTTGTTCCACTAGTTTTCACAGCACAATTCAAGGGCTTTGTATATAGCACATACTTTAGCAGAAAAAATGCTGGATTGTTTATTTAAAATAAATGATTTTTTAATCTTCATTTTTGGTACAAAGTAAGCACTGGTTGTACATGTTGGTGATTTTGACCCGTCTGTATAGATCACAATATGATCTGAATAGCCACTTAAGATTTCTTTAAGAGTAGTGTAGCAAAATTCGTTTTGCCAACCACTACCTATAAGCTCTAAACCAATGTATTACCAGTCGTGAAAGCGTACACGTATTGCAATGTTTCTTAAATTTGGATTATATTTTTCTGGTTTGAAAAAGCTATTTGTTTACTCACATTGCGTTTTTTTATCTTTTAGGTGCCGAAAACCAACATTCATCATGAATTTGATGTTCAGGAAAACCTTCGGCGAGCAAAAGACCGGCACGACGGCAATCAAGGGCAACAAGTCCAGCGCAGGTCGACATACGAGCAAAAGAAGCAGAGAACAGGGATACACGGCAATGGAGGAGCATCATTATCGCACACATTTGTTTTTTAGTCCACCTCGTAGTAGTTTCGGTCCCGGTGACGACGATGGTAAATGTTACACTTTTACACAGTTTACAGACAAATACAGTCTCCACCTTTTCACTTCAATTTGCAAAGCTGATAGAAATATGCAGAGTACTTTTTACAGATAATAATTTTAGTTTTTTGACGATAAAACAACTTTAGGACAATAAATAAAACATCAGCTAAAATAAAGATCTTAATTATTTGTAATGAATAGTTTTCTATTACTGTAAAAGTTTAGGAATTGATTTTTGGAACTTCTTTTACGATTTTTCTGTCTTACGGGTAAAAGAGGTCGATTTTATGACTATCAAAAAATTGATTACTAACGGTCAGATATTGAAAAGGTAAAGGTGGGTTCAGATGATCCAAGATTGTTTTGATTCCAACTTGGACCAAGTGAAGTTGTACAAGTGTACTTGTAACAAGTTAGTTACCATGGTTAAATGACTTGGATGGCAAATAACCATTGTAAAGATGGCGGAAGTGATTATGGAAGGTGTTCTAGTGGTTGATGATAAGTTGATACATGAGCTTGAGGTCCAGAAAAAATGAATAAAAAAGAAAAATGCTGCATTTGCTTCGTATAACTCCATGAATCTAGCACTCTCCTTTTCAGACCATTCTCTGTTTGCAAGGAAGTTGGCCAGCGTCCTACTTAACTTGGATAGAACCGGTTGATACTTGGATGAATAGATGACACGATCAAAGTAGCTTCCAACCTTCCAAGTGTTGCGCCCGCATCGTCCAAGCAGACTTTAACCAAGTACACTTGGATCGTGTCAACTCGCCTTTATATACAATTACGCATATAAACATGGTAAAGTCGATGTAAAAGTACTCTGTACGTAATAAATGAGTTACATATTGTTAAATTGTAATGAAATATATTTTTAATTAATTTTGAAAAATCAGGTAGTTAGTAACTGGCATATTAATTGTAACTCTTTTATTCTGATATGAAAAATCTACTAGATTGCACTGCTTTCTATATTTAAAAGTATTATAATAAAAATCATTCAAGTAAAAATACGCTTTAATAATTATCCTAAATAAAATTTTAATTTTATTCTGAGTGCAAACTCAATACAACAAGCACGGAAAAAATTTTTGCCATTATTGCTGTCAAAATATGTGTTACGTTTAGTTTTTAAGAGGTGTAAAACTTTTAATAATAAATTGATACTTTTTCATAAGAACGTAGTTAATATGAAAATAAACATCATGGATGCTTGCGTTCTCCAGCGAAATAACTGTCCAATGATGTGCCACACAGGGCCACTATTTAAAATTAAGTATTTGTGGTATTATAGCGGCTTCCCACGGTCGGCGATATTGCGGACGTAACCGGACCAGCCCGCACCACGCACCGTGGGAAAGGTCTCGTCCGTGGTAGCACAGGCACGTCCGTGCTGGTGCGTCCTATCCATCTAGAGTCGGTAACATCAAAGGTGCGGTATATGCTCGTGCAACGCGATCCTAGCGCGTCTGTGTTTTAACAGACAAGTGCAAGTCAGAAGTTTTTCATTCGCTGACACGAGTAGTTGTCTGTAGTAGTTTTGCAGTTTTTTGCTAAAAAATGGAATGTACAAACGAATTTTTTTTGATTTTTTAAATTTGTATCAAAATGAAACAAATTTATGGAATTCTACGGCGCCAGAGCATAAGAAACGGAACCGATATATACGATGTATGGAACCGAATAAAAAATCAATTGAAGAATAGTACTATTTCGATTAAAGAAATAAAAAAGAAGAGAAATAATTTAATGCCGACATACAAAAGGCAAAAAACAAAAGTTAGAGAATTGATGGGAACTGGAACTGGGGCTGATGATGTTTACAAGCTTGAGTGGCCTTTTTATGATATAATCAAACAATACTGTCACGGACCTACAGAGACTGTCACGGACCGTGGGAAGAGCTCTGTCTGCGGTGCGTTGCCGTCCGTGCTGATCGGCTGTCCGCGATGATCTGTAGAATCGCCGATCGTGGGAAGCCACTATTAGAAGGAAGCAGCTTGATCAATGGCAGACGTCTATGTCTCCCCTTGGAATAAAAATCGACCTGTTTCAGCATTTTTACAAAATTAAATGAATATTGCCAAATGTTAGGATGGACTCTTATGAATGGCCAACATGTGCTATATTTTAGAATAAACTGTGGAGAGAAGCTCTCGAATAAAAATTTATATATTAAACATTATTTAAATATGAAGTTATTAATACATGAAGTTATTAATACATGCATGATAACTTTGAATAATGAAATTATAGTGAAAAGTAATAGTTTTAAGTACGTAGGATTGGTATTACACAATAATGGGAAAATATATAGCGATTCATTTAAATGAAAAACGTTGTGGTAGAGCTGAAGTCAACAGCACTTACTTCTCTACGTCTTATTTTAAAATGGCTTCAGAAATGTTGTTCAATTTGGCCAAGTTTAGGGGAAAGGAGGGCAAGATGACGATAGTAAGCTTAAAAAAATCCTAGAACTGATATTTTTCCTTGTATCGAATGCATGTAACTACAAAGTAATTGGCTGATAGTAGTACTTTACATATTAAAATTAGATTACGTAAGGATTATTATTTCAAATTAAAATTTTTAAAATTTATCTACCTATGTCATATTCGTCAACTTACCCTTCGTGGAGGGTAAGATGACTAATTGTGAAGTGTAAGATGACGAGGTATGCCTATTCTAAGAAAAAAAGTCATATATATATATATATATATATATATATATATATATATATATATATATATATATAGGCAGAAAAGTAAACAAATTAAAGCAAAATGCATTTATTTTGTAACTAATGCAGCACTTGTAGTAGGTCCTACATTTTTAAAAGTACTAATCACATGTCCATTATTTTACCTTTGCTTCTTGACTATCCATTCCAGTGCATTCATCGTGAGCCCATTCCCTATACCTGCTGCAGCAGTACCATAGCTCATCTTTTCCTTTTTCATTGCAGATTATGCAATCTCTTTCTTCCTCTGAATCGTTATCAGTGTCAGCATATTCCATATCTACTGACAAGTTAGACGAGTCGTCAAATTTTATTTTTCTCTTAGTCTTTTTCCTTTGCCTTTATCGAAAGTGAATTTTCTATTTTTTGCTGAAAACTAAAGTTTTTGCTTCTATTTCTTTTCCAATTTTCTTCTGTTCTGTTATATCCCTTTTCCTCTCTTTTGCTAATTTGGAGCTTCCTTTTCTTCTAAAATCTTTACTATTGGTGTACTGGAAATAACGAGAGATGGTAATTTCTTTCTGGGTCATTTTGCTCTCACTTCAGCAACAAGTAATTTAGGCAGACCATTATTCAATATATGATTTGATACATGAGGGGGTGTCCGACCAGCTATTCCTGATGTAGATGGAACAGGCATATTTGGAATAGAAATATCTAAAATTTCGTCAAATATTTCAACAGGTTCTTGAGGTACTGTTTTTTTTTTAAACATATATCGGTGACATTCCTTAAATATCTGGCATTTTCTCTTCGACCTTTACATTTTCCAAAGCAGAGGTAGTTGCCAAACTATTGCCAAAGATGCCTCAAAATCAAGTATATCAAACACCTGGCTATCAACAGGATATATGCCAGTGGCTCTAAAACCACTAAGAGTATTTGAAACAGTTGCTGCTTTTAAGTACGCTTTCCCAAATAGGGTTGCAATGTCATACAATGTTATAAGACGACCCGGATTACTGATAAAAAAATCTTCGCAAGCTCGTGAGTATGCTGCAACGGGATTGTGCAAAGTCTTTACTAACCATTTTCTTTGTAGTATCTATCAGCAACACCACAATGAACGGCAAAGTCGAAAGCAATTTTTCTAAACTGATCCGTGGTTAATCCAAATGCCCGTTTATATATATCTATCTATCAGATCTAGTAGATTCTGGAATATATGCTTTTGAGGCTGTATTGGCACTTACCTGATGAGCAGTTATTTAAGCCATTGCTCTTTTTATATTTTCTTTCGACCAAGATTGTCTGTCTGTCTTTCTTTTGTATATTTTGCCCATATTTAAATCTGAAATTGAAAGTAGGTATGACTTACTGTTAATTTTAGTTAATTCGGGTAAGATGACGAATAACTCGTCATCTTACCCACAAGTGTCATCTTTCTTTCTAAAAATCGTAAAGTAAAATTTATTATTCATAACAAATATTTTCTGTAAGTAATTTATACGTAAAAAATATTAGTTTCGAACAAAAAATACAACAGTTATCCAATACTTACCAAAAACCTTTAAAACCTTATTTTCGAAAACAATAATATTGTTAGCACTAACACAATATCGGTACCAACACTTGTATCATACTAAACTCTGGCCGCTAACGTATTTGTACTCAAAGGCGAGAAACCTTAGAATATCTGTTCGGTCCTGACTGAAGACAGTGTTGCCAGAGTTGTACGTTGGAAAAATATCGGGAATTCGTCATCTTACCTGATTCGTCATCTTACCCCACTTTACCCTACATGTTATATTGTGACAGTTGGATTCATATAGCATATCTGATGCTGATCAGACCATCTTAAAGTTAGTAATTACTGGTCTTTTATTTAATAGTTACCTGTTTGGCTCAACCGTAGTAACAACAAAAAAAGATGATCCAGTAGTCGGTACAATAGACTACCGCGAAGCTTCATATTATGTTTTATGTATTTTTTATATTAAAGCTAGTTTATTATTTATTTTAATATTTATATTTTAAACAAAATATATTATATTAAAATACTTTAATAAATTATTATGTTTGTTCCTAATGCCACCTGCTAACGTATTAACGAAGCATGCGATGTTTACTTCTGACAGACCTGTCAAATTCGAACGAGATATTAAATTAATAATAAAATATAAATAAAGATCATTTTGCTATTTTTATTGGGAGAATAGGTAAGGCACAATTGTGCTTTTAAAATAAGTTTATTTGACGTTTATTTTGATTTTCACTTCGGAATAGTTTCCAAAATATATTATATTAATTTGATGGTAAATTAAA